GAACACCTGAAACCTCCTCATGTTCTCTATTTCCGATGGCCATATTTCACAGCCATATGGTCAAATAAAGCGAACTGCAGCGCAGTTTTCAATAGGCAATCGGATATCATGCAGGCACAATAAGCGGTGGAAGTTGACAAATTTCAATCAAGCCTCTTGTATTCGTACCGAGATTTCGTCAGTCAATGATCCACCAAGGCTGATTAGACTTAGTAGGTAGGTGAAGTGGTCTACACGCCCAGCCACTTCACTTGCTATCGTTAGATAACGTGTCAATGAAGACCAGTTTTAGAGTAACCATTTACATTTGGGTGTGAGGAAACGCACCCTAAACATTGCCAAAAACTGCCATTAAATGTGTTTAGAAGACTCTGCACCTTGTGAGCATCTTCACCTGACAGAAACGTGTCACCCATGCATTCTACGTTCTGTGATAAGATGCCTCCCTGTAAGCTTAGATGAGGATATGGAGTCCTCCATAAGACGCCTATAACAAAAGCAAATAAGAATGTAGAGAGTAGACATGCTTGTCAGACACAAGTCGACGTACACACACAACTCAGCATCGGGTCTAGAACGCCTACGGGTGTTGGAGTAAAGCGCTTTCAACATAATGGTGTACTTACTCGGTACCCTTTCAGTGGGACTCTAGAACAAGACCTCTTGGTCGATGAAGTTGAAAGTCGGGCACAGCTGGTGTCGCTAAGTGTGCCCGTGTTCCGAAACCCGGTGAAGAGTGAACATCTGGTCAGCACATCCACGGCCAGTTTTGAAGGCAGTTGCTTGTTCAAGTTTGCTGTTCCGAAGCTCCACTCAGACATAGAATGATAATAGAATGTGGAATCTTAGAAACTGTTTGTCACGAAGATACTACTGTGGTTATCACAAGAGGACTTGTTTTTTTGATAACTGGGACAATCAGTAATTGAGACTAGTCAGAGGGTATCATATCAGACCCCATACAGCAGCTAATAAATCAGTTAACCAATAATGTGACCACCGACCTCTAAATATTTCAGGCGCCAGTTTAACTGGCCCTACTGTGTTTCCTTGTTTCAATGTGGCCTACAGCTTTTTTGACCTCTAAAAGTGCTGGAGGCCCTATCTCAATATTCCATTCAGGATCCGAATGGGTAGTGAACAACAGAACAGTGTAGCTGGAAGCCAACTGATCTGTTTCGCTTATTGCTCAAGTTGTCCATTCCGCGAGTGAATCACAGATCCAAACTTTCTCTGCTATAGTTTGACTAACTGTTGAACGTTTTGCCAGTTTCCCTGATAAGTCTAAGTTATCTAAGTCTACCGTTATTTACCGCTTCGGCTTTTCTTGTCCACAACTGCTTACAGTCAAGGTGTAGACTTTTTTCCAGTCTACACATGAGTTGCTTCCTCTCCTCACTGTATTCAGAGCCTGAAGGAATTCCACATATCTGTAAGAAGCTGATGAGATTAACTGGTCCTTTTCAACCTTTTTCTGAGAGGCAGTTACAACCTAACTCTCCAATCAGTTCCTCTTTGAAAGAAGTTCTACCAATCAACCTGCGCTCGGAACGGACCTACAGTTGTATTGGTTTTAACTTTTGTGCGTGTTCCAACCAACACACGGTCACTATATAAACGCGTGCTTAAAAAGGAACAGTGATGATTCTATCCAGCGATAACAGACACATCTACCTTCTACTTTGACGACCGTGTAACACAGTCACAATGTAATATACAGCATACTGTTGCACTGAACACCCGTGTTTGCCGCAATGTTCCAGTCACCAATCCCAAAAGGTTGCCAGACAGAGAAGCGGAATCGACGTAGAATCTCATCGAAAAATGAGTCAGTTCAAGTTGTCATATTTTACAGTAGTTTACAAAAAACAACTAGGGGATAGAAAGAAAATAGATATTAAACTAGACAAAGCTGTGTGGAGGGAAAAGGAGTTAGTGAAAATGTTAGAGCTTTAGAAGACGTCAAAGAGTGAGTACACCGCCACTCTAACCGGTTTTCAGTCATTTCATTTGGAGTTTTAACCACTGATTACTACGGTCTCGTAGACCAGGTAGTCTACACTTCCACATTCGGCTCAGACCAACAGTCAGAGAATTCATGCTCCGGTGCCACATCTTGGTCTGACCACCCTGAGACTACTACCGACCTTGTTCAGCTTTTCCTGGGATTGGAGTTTGAAGTAGGCAATGAGCAAGCGCAAAACATATCCAAGACCTCAGTAGATAAAGATTCATGGCCTTATAGACCTACTTTCCTTTCTTATTGAGTATACTTCACCAAACCTCAACATTGTTCACATGGTGATTCCACCGATTGCGAGCAGTGCTTCGAAGATACATGTGGTCACAGAAGAATCTGGAATCTCTTCAAATCTACTTTCGACGGTCGTCTCACAGCAGTATAACAGAACAGAACGAACTGCAAAGCACTTTACTCATCCTATAATAGGTAGTCGGATGTTTCACCAGAAACGACGTGAGTTAGTAAGTGTCAAATGAACCGTTCATATCTGAGCTGAGCTTTTGTCAGCAACTAGCCCGTTCGCGTTGGTGCGACTCCCTAAGTAAGTGAAGTGGCGAATTCTGTCACTTCACTCCCTATCATCAGATGAAGTGGTTGCAGGCCAGTCCTGAAGCATCACCTTACATTTGACAGGTGCGAATCGCATGTCACATTTACACAGATTTCTGACCAACGCGTTCAGAAGACCCTAGATTTTATGAGTGTCTTCACACAACAGGATAATAACGTCTACGGATTCCAAGTCAAGTGGATGCCCTCCAGGTAGGTCAATCCCTGTGATGTCAGACATACCTAAGGTTAGTACATCCATAACGAAATCAAACAGAAACGATGACAAAGGGGATTCCTGCCAGACACCACTGTTTGCTGTCAGTTTAGAAGACAAATCTCTAAAAGCCCTTAACACGGGTGCGCGAGTTCGAGTAGAGAGCATTGATTGGTGTTACTCGGTACTTAAGGAAAAGTCAATCAACAGACATGTGGATATAGATCCCAATCTACTTAGGAAGAAAGCACCTACCAAACAAATCAATAATGATGCACAGTGTGACTGTAACAAATACCACCATTTCACTCTAACGATTCTTTACCACTGTGAGCGGACGAAATTTGAAGTTAAAGAAGTGATGTGATAAAAATCTCTTTCCTAACTTACAGTAGGTCAACACTTAAGCTCAATAAAAACACTATTTGGACATTTGAATATACTTCAGTTCTTCATGAAATTATTCCTGAGGACGTCACCGAGTCTGTTGATGAAACGTCCACGACAAAATATCAAAGCCCAGAGACAATGTCTCTACTTCTGGAATTCGCGCTGACTAGAAATGGACGGCTGCCTCAGAAAAGTTGCAACAAGTAATCGCCACTAGCCGTTTGTTGCCCTGGCATTCCGAAAATGCCACCCAATTACCTCTCTGCCTGGTTTAGCCTACTCACTTATATTGAAATCCCCTGCTACGTCAATTACATCAGAACTTTCAGTAGATGGCTAGACAGTTTTAGATAGAACTCATCCTTCATTTCATTCAAACTGTAGACAGTGGGGTGCATAAAGAGAAATTACAAAGATACAACGGTGAGCTTCACCACTGTTTTTAGTCTTTACTACAGCATCCAGCCAAGTAGTGCACTTTATACCTTAGGGCTCAGAACGGTTGTCATTTTAACCGTTATACTCAATCTTATCATTTCATTCTTCCTTCCTCTCGCTTACTACTTTCTACTTCCTTTAACTGATTTCTATTAACTTCATCTTCATTTTATTGCCTTGTTACTAGATGTGCTGATATGAGGTGTGGCAACTTGGACTGTTACGCAGTAAATTTAATGCTATAACTACACTTGAAAAGTGTGAGAACTAGCAGCTAAATATCTGCGACTCCGAAGAGTGCTTACTGTATATTAAGCATATTTCCCGAGTGAGGTGCGGTTAATAAGTACTTTTAGGTCCTTTTTGCATCCATTGCCCAAAATGTCAAACTTCTGGCTGGCGAAGATTGTTGTCCAATTTGACGGAGAATGCGGAAACTTATTATGTAGTTTGGAGCAAAGGTGTGAGACAAGGAATGCTACTCCATGAACTCGGATGGTTATCAAGAGGTTCAAAAAGAGCTGGCAGAGATTAAAGATGATGAAGGGATATTGACAGAGGGAAGTGAAACAAGATTACAAACCAAAGATTTGAAAGGCTGATAATGACTAGTGGCAAAGCAAACGCAGACAGATCCAAGAGCAGTTAAGACTTCTCTGCTGCTCATACCGTGGAAAGTCGCTTCTTTAGATACCTGAAAAACAAAACGTAATAACAATGCGTGACCGCTGAGCTCAAGGGAAAACTATTTAAGACCATTCGCACACGGAGGGTCTTAGAATTTTGACTGTTGAATTCCGGTTACAAAACCAGAAGACTGCAGAGTGAAGCGCAGTGAGCTCTTTTTAGAGCCGATAAGGAAAGGAGCATCAACATGGACCGCAGGTCATTCGCAGAAAATACCTCCAAGCAGTCATACTTCCAGTCAGAAGTACGATATCAACCTGAGAAACTCACTATAGTGTAAGCTATTTACACTAGGACTAAATGCTTTCTGTCTTACTGGTGTCCGTCAGATGTTTCTGGTAGAATCTCAAAGGAGGACTGTTCCAAACATATTTCGTTGCATCATTGTGATATACAAGCTTGACCAGCACACCAAAGTAACAGCTATCGGTAAGGTATCCCAGTTAGGAATGTTACATTTCTGTACACAGCTTAAAAGGGAAATTTCAAGGACTGATCCATCATCCATTCACATCAGTTGATATATATATATATATATATATATATATATATATATATATATATATATATATGAATTTTCAACTGAATATTGAATCTCTGGGTAGCATAGAACTTTGGTTGCTGAAAAACTTATTATGCATGCAGTAACAAATAGCAAAAACCGAACAATTCAAAATAATGGTCAGAGTTGCTTACTATCAGCTGGAGCCTGGTAAGTGGCATAATGAGGGAAATAGACTTCTATCTTGGATTTTCCGGCAAGAACTTTCTCCGTAAGTAAATCTTGCTTGTTGAGAAAGAGAATCACAGATATATTTCGTAGCCACCTAAATCATCATAAAATTTAAGAATAGACGGTCAGTTCCTTATGACAACAGTAACAACAACAAAAACCCGAAGTCCTTCTTGACGTCTGTATTGGCCATGAAGCAGTTACTAGTCCATCTTCTCTACGAGTGACATCAGTCATACGAACCAAAATCTGACGCTATAAACTGCCTGGCAGAAGTTAGTGAATGGTGTGGTGTTTCATTTGTTGTATTCCCTGGAGTGGTTTTATTTAGAGTAACAATGGACCACCACAAAATGAGGCAAACTAAAAGTATGTCGAAAGACCCTGAAGGTAAATACAGTAAACCAACACGACCTCGTGTTCTACTATACTATTGTAAACGTACAATTGAGATCAGCTTTAAGCTCCTTCAGTGTCATCAACCTTCAAGCTTTTATCTTTAGAACGATGGTTCAAGTGGCAGGAATTAACTTCAGAAGCAAAAGAAAACTTTAGTAAGCAAGTGATATTATGGTAATCATTGGTTGAAATGTAAAAATACTCGGTCATCCCAATTCATCCGGGTTTTTTCATTGTGAACGTGAACTCACCATAACGTTCTTTCCACACAGCTTGAGACTGATCGCACTGATATACGTGTATTCGGAGGGTGTATTCAGAAGAAAATATTTAACTGAATAACGGTGTGTTAGCGTTACCTTTCTAGAAAATTCTGACCAGATATTCAGTTGTCGACTTCATTTATATAAAACGGGGAAATGGTAGGACAAATGAAACGACTGATGGTAGGGGATTTAAACTGGGAAAGATAATAAGGGATATCATGTTCATCCTAGCTTTGGCCATAAAAACAGATACAACTTATTAATAGATGAATGAAGGACAAACCTCTTTCGTATACACAAGAGTGACTTTAATTTGCGTATGGCTATTACTTTGGCCAGTCCCAGCAAGGGGACCTGGACTCTTCTACACAAATATTATATATATATATATATATATATATATATATATATATATATATATATATATATATATATATATATATATATATATGTATATATATATATGGCAGTACACTGCTGTTACCTCTGAAGACAAAAACGAATGAATCATACCCTACGGGAACCTACCTAGCTTCACACGTAAAAGCTTGTTGACTAATGAAAGTCCTTTGCGCATATAACCAGCCAAGTCAGTCAGACAATTAGCACCCTTATTATAAGAGATATATTAAGTCACTTTATTCTCGGTTGCGAATTGTGTACGAATGGCAGGATAACTCACCAAATATACGATAGGATACAACATGAAAAATCAGTGGTCACCTTATCAGTCTCCTTGATCATCACTCAGTTTCATTTGTGAAGACAGTCATGATTTGAAAGTAATCAGTTATTAACCTGAACCTTGTAAGCTCCTATCAGGCAATCATAAGATACTGTCTTATAAATCAATCACCACTAGGAATTCAGTCAATCAAATCAGTCTTGGCTACGGAACATCAAACTGATTGGTGGGATGAAGTGAGTAAAGGAAATAGCAATGAACGAAACGCTTACTAGCTGAATCATTTACAATCAGGCTAAACCATAAGATGGAACACATCAAATTTTAGAATTTTAAATACGACAACGGACGATACCTAGAAGTTCAAAATAACAGTAGATGGACTAGTATGCCAACGCGACAGATAAAAGCAACCAGCCAATAGTTACAATCATAATGACAGTCTATATTTATAACAGTAAGAATCGGTTGGGCTAAACTAGCAGTCAGATTTTATTAGATGACATTACATTTTAGTCCGATTGCCGTTCTTTTTCCCTACAATTCTAGCTAACAAGCTCAGGGTAATCATTTTGACCATCTGAGATAGCCGTGGTTTGGCAGACTAGTATTTATGCTGAGTGGCGATTAAGGTGAAATGAAGATTAAGACCACGCCCAGACCACGAATCAGAGACTACCGGGTTCCCGGCTTCAGGCTCTACAACTGAGCTACAGACCTTGGTAAAGCATCGGGTCGGAAACCCAGTGGTCGCTGGACCGAATCCAGTCGCGATCCAATTTTCCATTTCACCTTCAATCATCACCCAGTATAAGTTCAGGAAGACGGTGACTAGGCATATGTAACTTGGAGTTGGTACAGTTCAGCCTACAAACATCACCTTGCAAGTGACAGATGTTAAGCACGTGTCATACTTAGATTTTCGCTCAAAGAGTTCAGACGATATTTTGTCAGCGTCTTCGTCCAAAAGGACTACCAATGACATACTCTGAATCAGTAGTCTCTCAAATAGCAAACCAATTCATGAGAATTCAGGAATACGCATGGCCATATCCATCATCACACTTATGACAAAGAATGATGGCAGAGATCCTTGACGGGCACCAATGGTTATTTTGGACCTCGCTTTAATCCCTTGTACGGTTATGTGAGTAGTTAAAGAAGCTTGAGTAGCATGGTACACTAGCTTGATATTCTAGTTAGACTTTACCACAAGAAGTCGATAGACGAAATTGAGTGCTACCTTGAAACTAACAAATATGCCAAGTTTTATGTGCCGATAGTTTAGAAACTACTTAAGCATATGTTTGAATAA